CTTTGCAAATAGGGAAGGGTGGAGGGGGTGAAGGGAGGGCAAGGGAAGGGGAAAAAAAATAAGAACCAAGATATTCATGTAAAGGTACAAGATCCCAATGATGAATGTAACTGTATTTTATACCAAAAATGTACCAATAAACTTAATAGGAAAAAAAAAAGAAACTGTAAATGAGCTATAGTTTTCTTCAAAGATAGAGGAAAACAAAAGCATTTTTTTTTCTTTTAGTACTGAAGACAATGACTATCTGCAGGTCACTGAAGCCAAGTGATCTTGTTGCAGAAATCTCAATTTCCATTGTGCAACTACTTTCTTCCTCTGCAGTTCCTAGAAGACTGCCAGAAAATATAGTTCAATAAGATATGAAAATATAGCTCTTTGCTTTCTGATCCAGAGATTTTTTTTTCTGAAATTGCAGAGTGCTTGGGACTCTGAGAGGTACTTGTCCCTTCTGGGAGAGATGAGTGCAGCCAGAGTCTGTAGATTGGGACCACGGAAGGCTGACAAAGGGAAGATGCAAGATGTTGTTCCAGATTGTGAGGAACTAGGCTAGATATTAAGAATGTTATGGAGGGGTGGAATTGAAGAGTGCAGAGAATAGGAATATCCAGCAGGGTTTTAGGTATAGATATCATCCTGCACATTTGTGAAAAATAGATGAAGTGGTTTTATTTCTTTTGGAAAATTATCTGGCAACATGGCAATTGGAGACATTTCATCACTTGGTCTCCAAATGGGTTAGAAATCAGACTTCCTACTTGCTAAAATGAGAACTCTTCCCCTGACCAGGGAATTTTCAATTTCTAGGAGAGTACATCTCACACTTATATGCCACGTTGTCTTATGTGACAGTCAAGTGTTAATAAGTCATCTTTCTATTTGTGAGGTTAGTCCCCACCCTGGAGATGAAAATGACGGGAGATTCTGAGGATACCAGCTCACTGGTGGCTCTGAACCCAATACTGTAGCATGCATCAGAACCTCCTTTTTATGGCCAAAGGATATTCCATTGCATAGATAGATCACATTGTGTTTATCCAATTCATCCCTTCTAGGCACATCACTTGGTAACATCACATGTGCCTGGTGAGTGCTCAAGGAATAAAAGGTTGTATCCATCCAGTCAACACACATTTGCTGATCAACTACATGCAAGACTCAGCTTTAGGAGTTGGGAACTTGCTGTACTGGGAGATACAGGCCGGGACAAGTGAATTTATGATATGTTGGGTGATTATAAGAGTATAAAGACCATGAAGCACAGTGAGGACAGAGAACTTAGGAGACTTGTGATTTTACATATGAAGAAGCTTCCTTTCTCCTACAACATCTTAGATTCCAGAACTTCCCAGAGAAGTGATAGAGCTAGGCAGGAAGCCAGGGCTCTTGGTTACCAAATGGTGCCCCTGACATCATGAGATTGCTTGTTGCTAATGTAAAGCACAATTTCAGTGTCTCTAGGGAAGGCATTACCTTTCTTCTTCCTTTCTCTTTCTTGCATACTGCATTCTAAATTATGTAGACATTCCAAACTATAGTATATGTGAGAAGCTCACTGTTATTTTACCCTTTGGTGTTTTTGTGGCCACTGACTATTCTTTTTTACCTGAGGGATTTAATTTCTGTCAATCAACTGTGGAAGAAGCTGGCTGGTGGGACCATCTGAGGATGGCATTTGCCAGTGCCCAAAGGATTCTCTGATGCTGGAGGAGGCTCTGCTAATTAATTGTGTACTGTGCATGCAGATTCATTGCCCACTTGGTTCCAAAAAGTAGCCACCTAATGCTTCAAGGGATGCTTGTTTCCTTTGGTTTATCTTCCCTTGCACTTTTGAGAACCCGAGTGGGAATTTGCAAAAAATATGCAGAGTTAACAAACAAAAAAACCAAAATTGCCAATATTTCTTCTCTGTGCAGAAGTAGGTGTCTGAGATAACTAGAAATGGAAGGGTTGAAGTCTACTCATCAGAAAATAAATTTGTCCTCATAGCATGCTGTGTTCATGAAAATGTCTTTCACCCTGAAAAATTTTGACTTGAATCCTCTTGGTCTTTGTCTTGTACTATGGCCTTTAGGACTGGGGGAAGGTGACATCTGACATTTGGAACCACTAATGAGACCACCTCGGATTTGCAGGTTCCGATCAAAGACTCTGTCCTGTGGGTCTGAGGCCACATGTAGAGGCTTTCCGCTTTTGCCTCTAAGGTAGTCAGGGACCTGAGCACTCACTGGGATAAGTTATTCATCCAAGTAAAAGCTGCTCACTGCCTCAGGGAAAAACATAGGAGGCAGAGTTCATGGAAAACCCAGCATCTGAGGGACTGGGGCATTTTCTCCTTAATTAACTGGTTAGACTACTTAGTGGAGAAAGTGAGCCTATTCATTAACAGTCTATGAGGGACTGGAGACTTACTCTGAAGAGGAAATACATCTACAACAAAAAACAATAAAGTAAGATAAAATCTATTTACTAAATTTGCATATTGCAAGTCTTTATTTTGAGGTTAGTTTTATTTTAATTAAAAAATTGCATAGCTATACATGCACATTGCTTAAAAAATCCAAAGAGCACAGATGAGACATACATGATGACAAATAATTTTCTCATCTCTCATTTCTATTTTTCCCCTCCAAATGCAGAGTTGCATGCATTTTGTTCCAAAGATATTTAATGTAAGCATTTTTCAGTGCTGCAACACTTTCTAAATGATCACCTGTAGATAGCAGGCAGCTGGCTGAGCCAGGATTTGTGTTTTGCTCTTAGCACCAAGCTCCTAGAAGCATTGTTTTTTCCTCCCTCAGAAGGCTTTTGGCTCCAAATGAGAGGATTCTTGTAAATCCTAGGGCTCAGTCACAATCAGTGCTCAGTAAGTGGTGATTAATATTAGTAATTATTTATGAAGTATTCAGTAACTTAGAATTTCCAGATAAAGTATAGGACATCCAGTTAAAATTTCAGATGAACAATGAATGTTTTTTTAAAAGCATAGTCTCTCTTGGTATGTACAGTAGATTGGTTTAAGGAACCCCTGAGGATACCAAAATGCAGATACTCAAGTCTCTTATATATGGTAGCATAGTATTTGCATGTAACCTGCATACATCTGCCATATACTTTGAGTCACCAGTAGTGTACTTATAATACCTATTTACAATGGTATGTAAGTAGTTGTTATGCTATCTTGTTTAGGGACAAGAAAAACAAGTCTGTATGTGGTCAATAGTTCACAACCGTAGGAGGCCCGACAACAGGTATGGGAAGTGAGATGAACAAGGCTCAGCAGAGTGCTGGAGAGAGGCTGAGGATCTGTGAAATGGTGGGAGGCCACCTTGGGGTGGGCCACACATCACTCCCTTCATGTGAAGTCCACGTAGTGCTCAGTGCATGGTAAATTCAGGTATTGTTTTTGAATTTTCTGGAACACCTCTTCTCCCAATATTTTCAATATTTGCACTTGGTTAAATTCTTGGATGTGGAATTTGTGGACATGGATATGGAAGGCTGACTCTATAAAATGTTCCAGCTAGCACATGGGACATTACCAAAAACTGTTCACTAATTTGATGGGGCATTCTCCATTTTAGTTGGCTAAATCTGGTGTCCTTACAGTGAATGTCAAACTTTGGGCCGGGCCATGCAGAGGATGGCATCTTAGGAGGTTGACATGTTGGAGTTGGAAGGTGACTGAGATTATCTGCCCATGGTCTAAGGCTACACTCAGCCTGCTGGTTCTCCCACCCTTACCGCCAAAAGTGATATGAAGGTAGGTTCTGTACTTGGCTCAAACATCAGGCCCAGTCTTAGACTGTTACTGTAAGTTGTCCTCCCCTTGTCTCTCAGAAAAAACAAAACTGAAATATTTGTGAATGTTGGGTTGAGAGGAGGAGAGGGAACCTTGTGACATTTGGTAGCAAATAATTTGGCTCACTCCTCTCATAAAAATTGTGGTGCGGTTACTGTTTCCATGAATAACACAGACAATAAGTAAACATGTTTCAGTTGAATAATATACAGATCCCAGCCTCTTTCTCGGTAACATGATACTCTAGATTTCAAAGATATTTTTGGTCTGATTTTAATGAGCACACCATTCTCTTTCTTGTACTTTCTGGCTCTCTCTGTTTCAGTCGTTAGCCTTTTTCTCTGTAGCCTGTCTTCCCTCTCTCATGCTCCTCCTATATGGAGCCATTTCTAGAGTACCTCTGGGATTCGCGTTGGCTCCTATGAAGCCTTAGACAATTTAGCTTTCACTGCATGGAATGCAGGATATTCTTGGGAAGCGGTAGCCCAAAAAACAATGCAGTAGGATTTCCTCATTTAAAAAAAAGGTCATTCTCTGTACGTCTCACGCTGTTTCAGTGTATCGATAATGTGGTGTGATACGCATTTATTTCAGTGCCTTATTTAAATGCAATATTTTGCTAATTAACTGCTCTCAAGGATGACATACTCGTCAAAAGGATCTGTGGGATAATTTATAGTTACATGTGGATGTATTTGTCATTTTTACTTGGCTCAGTGTGAGAAGCAACAAATATTTATTAGGTGCTTTTGTTTTAACCAACATTATCTTCATTTAATACTCAGAAATGTAAACATGATATGTTTGGTGCCAGCTTCTGTGGTGGCTTGTATTTTAAGCTGTCCTATGTATCCTGAGTTGAACCAGTGTGAGACTTGCTAGTGAGGGTTATTCCTTTGTTCTGCCTTCCAGAGTACAAATCACAAGTTTAAACAAAAGTAATGCCGGGGATTTAGCTCAGTGGTTCCACCGCCTGCCTTGAAAGTGCAGGGTCCCGAGTTCGATCTCCGGTACCACAAAAATAAATAAAAATTTAAAAAGGTCATCACACTAAAAAAAAAAAAAAAAGAATGCAGTAGGGAAAGAAAGGGCTTGGAGATAGTTGCCTACTTATTCAAATTCTCTTACTAGACGATGCTAAAAGTTACCCAGTGGAAGCTGTTGGAACGAACACCTCCAGCCAGAGATCCTCCCTTCTAAGGTGGAGATCAAACCCAGGGCCTCAGGCATGGTGAGTAAGTGCTGAACCACTGATCTATGTCTCCAGCTGCTCAGTGCTTCCTAAGCAAACAGCTACTCTGATTAGCTAGCGGGGAGGTGGATACATGAAGTAGAATGAAAGGAGAGGTCTGATTTAGGACATGAAATAAGGGGAACAAAAGACATTTTATGACAGTAATGAGCCTGGAGAATGATTGGAAAAACTATTCTGATTATATATAGCAGTCCTTTCTTTTCTGTGGTTTCATTTTCTGAAACTTAGGTTTTAGTTACTATCTTAGCAACTTTTTGCATTTCTGAGACAAAATACCCAACACTCAAAGTTAAAAAAGGAAAGGTTTATTTTAGCTTACAATTTGTAGAGGTTTCAGCCCATAGTCAGCAGGGCATCATGGGTATCACAGAAGAGAAACAGTTTATGACGTGGCAGGCAGAAGGCAGAGAGCCTGCCTTCCCTCTCTCCCTTTATATTCCATCTAGGCTACAAGCCATTGGTTGCTCCCACCCACACCCAGGATGGACTTTCCCATTATTCATTTCCAGAACTATGCTAAGCCAATCAGTGGACTAATTTACTTATTTCACACTGTAGATTTAGCTACCTCCAAAAAGCCCCACCTATGAGCACATGGGACTTTGAAAGGACTCATCTAGACACAAGCCACAACAGTTACCTACTAGATCAGTCATGGTCCAAAAATATTAAACAGAAAATCTCTGAAATAAACAACTGATGAGTTTTAAATTGTATGTCATCCTGAGACTCATGATGAAATCTCCTGCTGTCATCCTGCCACCATATGAATCATTCTTTTTGTCCTGTGTATCCACACTGTATATGCTACCCATCCATTATTCACTTAAATAGCTGTCTTGGTTATCAGATAGACTGTCATCCCGTTGGTATCACAGGGCTTTTGTTCAACCCACCGCAATATAGTAGTGTGATACTGCTCTATAATGCCTATGTCATTCCCTACATTTCATCTGACCATGGGGTCATTGTATCATCTCATGTCATCACTGAAAATGTGAATACAGTATTATAAAACATTTTGAGAGAGGTCACAGTCATATAACATTTATTATATATTGTTATGATTACCTTATGTTATTATTAGTTAACATTGTTAATCTCTTACTATGCCTATTTTATAAATTAAACTTTACCATAGGTATGAAAATATAGGAAATAATACAGTAATTTACAAGGTTTGATACTACTGGTTTCAGGCGATCAGTGGCAGTCTTGGAATGCCTCCTCCATTGATAAAGGGGAAAAGTCTGCTCATTCTTTTGACAGCTTACTATGTTAGCTTTATGTTGCCTAAACAAACACATGAGATAAATCAAGTTGAAAAAGAGATAAGGTTTACTTCTGCTTACACTCTCCAAGGTTTCTGTCCCTGGTTAACTGGCTCTATTACTTTTGAGTCTGTTGTGAGGTAGCATGCCACAGTGGGAGTGCCTGGTAGAGGGAACTGCTCACTGCATGGTGGCTGGAAAGCAAAAAGAGAGATGAGAAGGGGCTGGTGTCCCAATATCCCCTTTAAGCGCATGCCTCCAGTGATCTTTCTCCAACTAGGCTCTACCTCTTAAGGTTCCTCCACCTCCCAGTCGTGTTACAGGGTGGCACTGATCCTTTAACACAGGCCTTTTGGGGGACATTTAAAATCCAAACTCTAACACTTAGTTTTTGAGATAAGCATCTTCCATCTATTTCCTTGTGAGTATAACTGTCAACATAGTGGGGGAAATTGTGTCTGTACAATAGTTAATAAAATATTAAGTTTAGTTTGGTTTCTTAGAAAGGTTTTGCATTTTTTGGGGTGTGTGCTTATTTCACACTTTTCATCAGATTTGTTTTAGGGTGAATAATAATTCCTGTTAGAAATAACACTTGCAAAGACAATGTAGACAGTGAAAGGTAAAAAACATCTTTGTGGATTCTAGAAAGAAAATATGACCCATTACCATGGGGTTGATATGTCATAAAACTTCCAAAGGCCTTTAGGCCAGGAAGAAATGAGATTTATGGATCTGGAATAGTATTTTCATCAGTAAGTTTGGAGTTTAATGAAGTAAAACACAGGCTTCACTTGATGGTACTAATTAATCTTTGGTATGCTTAGTGAATTTACTGCAAAGTCATGATTTTCTTCTGTAAAAACCCAGATAAAGGTTGATCAGCTTGCTCTTTAATTTACATAAAAGTAAAATACAGTGGAAAGTATTTTAAAAAAAGCTATTAGCCATTAATACACACAATAAACTTAAGCGTTAAAAAGTTGGTTTGACAGCTTAGATTGACAATTTGTAACTGCCAATGCATCGTTTAAAGAATTAATAAGCTTACGATATACTTTATGTGATGAGTTGGGCCATTAACTCCTTATAAATGGAGGTAAGTTAGAATAAATAAAAAGATCTACAGAGATTATGTGCTGGGCATATCTTTGTTTCATGCAGCTCAGATAGAGATGCATAAAAGCAAATGTTTTTACTTTAAAATTAAAAGTTTACTTTAAAAGTTACAGTGGACATTTAAAAATTATTTTTCACTGACATAATGATTGTGTATATTTATGGGGTTCAACATATTATTTTGATATATATATAGTGTAATAATCAAATCACGGTAATTAGAATATTCATCATCTTAAACAGTGACCATTTCTTTGTGGTGACCATGTTAAAAATCCTTCCTTCTAGCTTTTTTGATATGCATACTACGTTACTATTAGATGTAGTCACTCTAATGTGTAATAGAACTCCAGAATTAATTCCTCCCACTAAGTTCAACTTAGTACTCATTGACTAGCTTCTTTGTATCATTCCATCTCCTCTATCCTCCTTAGCCTCTGGTACCAACTATTTTACTCTCAACTTCTACAAAATCAACTCTTTAAAACTGCATATATGAGTGAGATCATGTGATGTTTAAAATTTTTTTATTTTAATGTATTAAAAATAGATATTAATAAAGAAAATGTAAAAGCCATTCTGTGAAAAATAATTTTTCATAACAAAATTATTAGGGGATGATCATGGTGAATACACTGTATCATAATCTTAAAAGAATATATTTTCATTTGCTAATCTATCTCTCAGTTCATTTTCTAATAACACTATAAGTATCTCACATTCTGTATAATTTTGAACAACTTCTTCCTATTTCTCATATTTATTATTCTTTTTGGTTCTTATGTTCACTTTCAGTTTCTCGTGCCAGAGAGACAATGTGATATTTACACATTTGTGTTCAATTTGTTTCACTTAAGAGCATGTTCTCAAGCTGCATCCATTTACCTAGAAATGTCTGAAGTTTATCCTTCTTTATGGCTCAATAGTACTCTATTATATAAAAAAAAACCACATCTTTTTTATCCATTCATCAGTTGGTGGGTATTTGGGTTGTTTCCAAGATTTAGCTATTACAAACTGTGCTGCTGTAAACTTGGGTGCACATATATCACTATGGTATGATGCTTTTAATTCTTTTGGGAAGATACCCAGCAGGGAAATAGCTGGGCCAAATGGGACCTCTAATCCTAGTTTTTGGAAGAGTCTCCACATTGATTTCCACAGTGGCTGTACTAGTCTATACTCCCACCAGCAGTTGAGAAGGGTTCCTTTCCTGCCACAGCCCTGCCAGCATTTGTTTTTGGTTGATTTCTTGATAATAGCCATTCTTTCTGGAATGAGATGGAATCTCAGCATTGTTTTAATTTGCATCTCTTAAATAACCAGTAATGTTGAACATTTTTTTTTCATATATTTATTTGCTATTTTTACTTCTTCATCTGAGAAATGTGTATTCATCTCAGATGCCCATTTTTGGATTGGGTCTTTAAATTGGGTGGGATGATTTTTTTCAATTCTTTATATGTTCTGGATATTAGTCCTTTGTAGAGGAACTGCTGGATAAAATTTTTGCCCACTCTGTGGGTTGTCTTTTCACTCTGCTGGTGGTTTCTTTTGCTGTGCAAAAGCTTTTTAATAAGATGAGGTCCCAGTTGTTGATTCTTTGTAGTCATGTGACATCTTATATTCCATGAAAATTCAGATCTAGTCCACATAGCTTTCCTTTGCTTGTTAAAAATGTTTGCTTTTTGAAATTACTCTTCAAATATGTAAAATGCATTTTAGAAGGTGACCTAAATTAAAAAGGGGAAAAACCCAATCACAATAGATGAAAACTTTGAGAATGGGTCTTATCTGTTTCAATTGATTGGTCTCTGCATGGTTCTGGTAGTACCCATGAATCTGCTGAAATTCCCCTTCCTCAAAATGTCTATCTTTCCCATTAGGTTCTCTAGCATTTGTATCATAGTTGTTTGAAAGTTCATGTCGTTGTGTGATGATGGTTTATAAATATTTTTTGGTTGTTCGAAAAGTGTATTGATTTCTTGCACCTTTTTACATAGAAAGCTCGAGCAGAACTCCTCATTTTCTTTAAAAATACCAAGTAAATTCCCACTTTGATTTGGTATAAAGTTCTGTCCTCTGTGTTTAATTCTTCCTTCCATCTAGCTATTAAGGTACATATTAATGGAATTGTAAAATGGGATCAAATCTCTTTGCTGACATCACCTAGGGCACAGTGTCAATCTCACCCCTGAACTCTAAGTGCTTAAAGCTTCTATAACACCCTTGGCATTGAAAACATGTAGCTGTGGATTTTTAGTTATTTTGCTTGGATATGTCCTGTCTCCTATCTAGTCGGACGCCATTTTGAAAACTTAAACATATACACCGTAGCAGAATTTGTTGCCATGCAATTTACATCAATTTGGCCTCAAAATACAGAGGCACTAACCACTACTTGGAAGCTAAGAACAGCAGCAGAAGTCTAAGAGGACAGGGGAAGTTAAGAACTTTTCCTTTGAACAAGGAAAGCAAAAGGAAAAATCTGAAAAACAGAAACTACCTGTTTTATCATCAGTTGCAGCTGGGCTGGTAGTCAAAGGCAGAAAGACGTTATTAATCAATCTGTAATCACCTGGAGAT